CCTGTCTGAACCCGGTTATCCATATCATGAGGAAGTATCCACAACTGTTTTCGAAACAAAGGTTGCAACTGCAAATGATTCTTGCTTTCGACATAACCTCACAAAACACTGCACATATAATATTTCGGCATTCATTATAGTAAATGGGTTCTCAAATAGGTGTGAATATTAATCATACCATCAAACGCTTCCATGTAGTCACGTTGACAACCTGCAGACGTCTCCAGACTTGAGAAGACAACTCCGATACCAACGTAATAACCTTCATCTCCCTCAATCGTCCATGTTGACTCGAAATTACTTGAATGAAGTAAGGCAAGTTAGGTCAACGCAGTCCTCACCAAATTAAACTTGTTCAGAAACAGACTTTTCATCGATATAAGACTTCACAAAAGTAGACATTCTGGGTGTCATTTTATGAATTCGATGGCAGTAAACAATGAGTAATAATATTGACGATAAATATTATTCGTTTTCTTGTTTCACTGATGAAGCTACACATGTAAATGTGCACTGCAAGAAGGAATCATTTAATTATGATGTTATTGCTTGCCATTGCGATTGGTATAGAACATAGGAGATTTACAATAATTGTATTCTTCTTCTTTCGTCTATGTTTAGAGCTCATTTAGTCACGTACTATTCGGGACACATACCTCGGGTAATTGAATGGATAATTTGGGGAAGTAAAGTATTCATAATATCTGCTGGCTAAAACTTTCGTCTTCCGTGAAGCTGAAACATAAACATACATTAATTTTGCATGTTATCAGTATCCATCTGCAAGTATAATTATACCGTGGGAAAGAAATGGGGGAAGGCATGTGAGTAGAAGTGTTCCTTGTTTCCAGATTTTCATTCCATGTTTGTATTGCACTGCAGGTGAAAGGAAATCTGAGAATACACAGAAGAACATTTCGATGAAGTGATGTTCCCTTATTTGCTTTCCTAAGCATAATTACGTTTCCACATGGTTGCACCGAAAGTCATTGATATTTTGGCATCCGAGCATATAATATGTTACCTGCATTCAATTTAAAAGACTCATATCTTTTCATAGCAGCCACCTGTAACTGTGCCGCTTCGAATGTTTCTCATGGTCATACGCTACCATCGACACAATGTAAATGGGGGAAACCAACTGGTTTAATACTTAGCAATTCACAATACAGAGATGCGCCCTTTAACTGTCAGGATTTGCCCCTCTGAATTCAGATCACATATTGACCTGATTATGATATTCCTGGTTTGTTATCATCATCATCTTAAGCTCCTGATATTCTGAAGTTGTAATCGTTTCTGTTTTGGCCATCCCTCAGAATCTGACTTGAAATACTGTTCCAAATAGTGCTAAACCTAACTCATTCACTAACTCATGGCATTGACATTTGACGTACCACTAAAGTGACCCGCCTTAAGAATCATTCTAAACATTCTTCTGTTAGATATGTTGTAATGGAACCTGGCGGTGATGACATTTCCGGAGCTGATGAAGTCGGCGTTAGTGTCACCACACCACTTTCCGTGGGTTGTTGAAGTACTGTTGTCGTAATTACCTAAATACAGGTAAACAGAGGTAAGAATGCAAACTCCAACAGTTACAGGTGATATATGTCCCATTAGTCGCTTTTCGAAAGTTCTCAGATGCAGTACTTTGGATAGCATTGAAAAACTATGACTGATGACGAGTTAGCATTGACATTTAACGACTGTTCACGTCTGTTGTGTAAACGTCGAGTTGATGTGTAATTTGAGCTGATGTACAAGTTAGATTCATTTTGTCCATTATCATGTGGAAACTGACATGTGTATTATGGTACCTGTCTTCAGTGTATGGAATATATCTTATCAACGGCATATTCCTGTCTCGATAGTTACTAACTTAAACAAAGTTAACGTACATAACGTACATATTCAGTCAGCTATGAGAACTAAAACATTAGTACCAGTCTCCATATTTGTTTTCCTGAGTAACATCCTACTGGGTGCCTCCTTGTCAATTATACAATGGCGGGCTGTAGATGAATAGGATAGGTTTGCTGGGGACGAACTGTAAACTCTTGATAGCAAAATCCGCTTAAAAGAAATAGGTATACATGAAATATGTATCTTACCATCGTATATTTCCAGGTAATTGACGTTGCATGATGAAGAAGGAAAATGATTTATAGCATCCACATTAACCTTGATGGTCGTATTTGTCGGGGCATGTATGGTCCAAAGGCAGTCTTCGGAAATGTATCTATAAAACATTCACCAGTATCTTGTTAACACGCATAACTATACAGTGACATAAGAATATGTTACAATGCTAAACTGACAATATGAAATTGCATTTTTTTTCAGATATATTTTTCTCAAATGCTAAACTTTCTTCTATAAAACGTCATATGTCCGCTGCGAAACTGACTCTGATTAGTTTTATATTAATCAGTGAGTATCGAAACAACTTCCATTTCGTTGCCTGCCCCCAAAGGCTGTCTCGGTAACTGCATATAAAACAACACCAGCAGCATGCACGCCCATAGCTGTTAAGTGATCAGGAATATATACATTACTAAACCGTGACTATCCCAAATTGCTGTATTTTTCAGAATGCATGAAAGGTCACATCGTTGTGGCGAAACTGATTCTTGTTTTGTTTTGGTTTTGCGTTCTAATCAATTGTATCTGATCAATTTCCGTTTGGTTGGCTGTCATTTGTTTCTAGTAACAGTAGGGCTAAGATATCATGGAAGCTATGAATTGTAAAATATATCGTCACGTCATAGAAACCATGGAATACATGGATATTAAAATTTTGGATCGATTATATCTCATATTGCAGCTAACACGTGAACTGACTCATTAGTCAGTCAACCCGACGAGTCAATATATTCCAATGGGTTAAAACTGTATTGAGTAAGTGAGTTTAGTTTAACGCCGCAGTCAACAATATTCCAGCTATGCGGCGGTCTGTAAATAATCGAGTCTGGACCAGACAATCCAGAATCGGGAACGATGACATGTGTCAATCCAGTCAGCGAGCCTGACCATCCGATCCCGTTAGTCGCCCCTTACGACAAGCATGGTTTACTGAAGATCAATTCTCAATCACATTTGAGTTTATCATTATTAAAGGTATAAGAACAAACTAATAATATATATCTATACCTTTCATAAGACCCTGTCAGAGTTCTTTCCCTATCTGTCGTGAGATCAACTGCACCTCCACAGCTCCACGGCTCTGAAAGGAATTCACAATACAACTTCCATGTCATATATTTGAGTGAATATTTAAGTGTAAACCAGTGATATGACTCATATTATAAGTTTAATTATTTCATTGTCTTCCATTTCCTAGGTTTTTTGTTCTCAGAAATATAAAACACTCACCATTCGTCGCAAAATATTTCAGTTTGATGCCTGTCATATTATGTGCATCGCGCGCTTGGAATCTAACTGTCATGTCCGGTCCAGTACTCTGCAGACTCGGCAATGTCTTGCCGCACCAAGAGAGAAGTAACGTATCAAACATCGAAGGTCCTGCAAAACGTTTAGATAGGTGGACAGTTAAATGACTTTTCACTATAAAAACAGCGAGCGAGTGAGCGATCATGCTTTTACGCTGCTTTTAGCAATATTCCAGCAATATCACGGCGGAGAACATCAGAAATGGGCTTCACACATTGTACCCATGTGGGGAATCGAACCCGGGTCTTCGGCGTGACTTGCAAACGCTTTAACGCTTTTGGTAGAAACAGGTGTTTAAAGTACTGTCGGAAATAGAAACAAAATGGTTTTAGGCTGTTACTCTGTCTCCCTAAAACTTACACAATTGCAATAGCATATATGAAATAACCAACATCGGCCTAACTGGGCGTTCAGTGAGATGCGTAATAGGATATCCAGAAAAGCATGTTTACCCGTAAAATCGGGCAAAACTTAGAAAAAATACGAACAGCTGCTCAAAACAATAGATCAGACTATAGATGGCAATTAGGTCGCTCAGCCAGGTATGACGACGGACCGTCAACTCACTTGGCATGAAATGCACGTGCTGCTCACAGACACAAGGGGTCATCTCAAATATCTTTGATGCTTTTTCATGTGTATTGAATATGTCTCTACTGATTATCTAATCTTAGCTAATATCTCTATCCCCCAAGCCCGACCCCAACTACCGTCATAAACACCCGTCTTGATTTTGCTTTTGAGACGACCCCTCCTTCCTGTTTCTTTTTATAGTGATAGTGAGACTCAGTGGTATCTATATCCTTAATAGTTTCAGTATTAAAGTTGTTATTTGTTACGTCTGCTATCGTTTATTATGAAGCTAAGTCTAATTTCAAAATGGATATTCAAAACGTGACATTTGTTCTACAATATCATCGCACACTAATTTGCATAAAGTCATGGTCTGCTCCAAATAAGTCTCTTCGGACTTATAAAAAAAGCTGCATTGCTCATTTCTGCACTAATATCTCCTCAGTAAAATCCTTTTTTAACGTTTCCTATCTCCCGTAGACTGTAGTTAGGCCGAACTTACTTCAACAGATATTTCACACTTTCACATATTAACTACCTAAATTGAAGATATAAATGTGAAAAAAACAGTTTTTCCTATTTCCGACAGTACTCTTAGTGTTGAACGCTCCTTTTGATGAAATGTGTCTTAATCGGTTATGACAACAGATATGAATCATGTAACACGCATGGGCATGCAATATGTCATAAATTAATTCGAACGTGCGGCGCCCATGTCCTGCTATATGTAGATTTGTGTTTTCCTCATATAAATCTCAGGGTTTGAGTAAGTGTTAGAAATCATTTGAGTTAAGTAATTGATATGGGAAGTAAGAAAACCCCAAATTGTTCACATTGTTCTAAAAAGTCCGTGTGTATTAAACTAATGATGACAACAGGTACCTACCATCGTAGAGAAAGCCAAGATTGTGATCGCAGTGTCTAATGGAATTAGGATGAGTTTGAATATCTGAGTCAATTACGTCAATCCGAACCGTCATGTTTGGGTCTGAGGCCTTTAGTATCCAAATACAATCGGCGTTGCTACAATAAAAAGAGAGTAAACGAACCACTGTATTGCAGGTTAATATATAACGGCAGCACAAAGTACCTAGTAAGATTTCAGATGTATGCTCAGGTTTACTTTGGTAAGACTGAACAGTACGGTTGTGGTGATGAGAAAGCAAGAATCTTTATCAGGAAACAGATTCTTAGCATTCTGGTATGCATGAACGACTTACAACAAACTGTCTCAGCCTTTAATGCTTCCTGGGGAATGAAAATGTTCGTCAACCTACCTCAAACTAAACATATATATTTTCTGTGCTCTATCGAGACATGTCATGCTACGTTTTGGAAAGCATTACATGCAGTTTCAAAGATTGTGCAAAATGGTGATCAACGAAAAAGACACTTATCAATGGTTATGTGCAGAAAATGCTTGTGTTGTACGCAAAAATATAATAGCCACGGTAAATCTTTTAATAGTTTTGATTTGTAAAAGCATAATGCAGTTTGTAGAATAATTTGTGTATTAATTGCTTTGTAAAATGAAAAGGTAACGAAATCTGAACTTACCTGGGAGAAAGCACAGGATATCCTGGGGAACTGAGGAATTTTGGATGTGTGGTTGCAGTCTGAAATCTGGGCCCACAATTCTCTGATTGGTCAGGTACCACTGAAACATTAATACAAGTCCAAACATGTGACTTGAATATTTCGTTGTAACTACATGATCATTTCAAACTTATTATTACTGTTCTTTCAACGTTAACAAGAAAAAAGCACTCAGACAGAGACTGATGTATATGAAAGAAAATACACCCCTGGTGTTAGGGAATATGAAAAGAAAGAAGGTAATTGTAAAGTGTTTTGATTGTGACATCCAAACATTTGTACATGTTGCCCCAAAACACATGTAGCCTTTATAGTGTTGTGAGTGGACTATCATAACAATGCCACGCTTATCAACAGCGGAGCGAGAACAAGCAAATGAGGGCTACAAACAGCCATATTACCATACTAATGATACGCATCAACAAGCCTGGCCAGTGACTGCGTGCTCTGAGCATGCGGACCAGTCGACCATTTCGGGGCATGTCATGAACCCGTCAGCATCGACTGAATCGTCTTCGTAGGCTTGGAACATGAGGCGCTGGCAGCGTTGCATTTGGGTACGATATGTGTGGTGTTTTGGCATTTGGCAAAAGTTACAAAATCTTGCGCTTGTAAGTCATAATCAAAACACTTTACAAAATATTGTATCGTTGTTTTGGTAATTAATCCCAAAGCACAAGGTGTGTGCTTTCTTTTGCATATCAGTGTATTAGTTGAATCGCGTCACTGTTGATGATACCTCTGAACTTACCTTTCCGTGTAGTATGAGAAACCACAACCTGGAATCCCGCCCCGCTGGTATGACTGTTGGACTTGAATACCAGTTTCATGCTCTTTCCGTTTGAATAGTAGGGACCAACCGGAGAAATTGATGAATTTCCACAAAACTTGCCAATAGGATCATTACTTCCATTATTCCCTAGGACCAACAGATTAAGATTCAGATAAGTTGAAGTTATGAGGAACAAAACTATATCCAAGAAATATAGATTATATAATATTGGAGAAACGGACTTCATACAAAACGTTGACACCAGTGTATATTTAATCAATAGCGGTTCTCTGCCGAAATAGGTCCCATGCCGAAGATTTTAAGAATGGATCACTAATAATCAGTGATGACATTAAGTATCAGTCAACATTCAGACACAGAAACAACAAACGTTACAAATGTGAAAGATCACGCTGTGACCCTTGTAATGAACCAGCTTTTCCAGTGGATGTAATATGGCATACTCAGTGAACTACATAGGGCTACATGTGAAAAACCAGCCTGCCACATCCCTCATTAGGGTCCGTTTTGGGTGGCTTGTACAACCAGGTCCCCGTTTCACAAAGCGTTCGTAGCGTTACGTTTGTCTTAAGTCTATGTTACGGTATGGGAGTTACGATAACCTTAGCGCTACGATCGGTTTTTGAAACGGGCCCAGATGTACAATGGACTGGTGTAATATTGTTCAGAATTTATGTGTACAACACATCCTGGTCAACCATGAATAATTGGTTATAATACAATAATGTTAGATTCTACAAACTACAAGCATTTAAACAGTTTGTAACGTTAAAATCATGATCACTTACCTCCAAAAAAGGGTTACAGAGTCATTATCGCACTGTGGGTAGTCTCCCTCTATATCTGCATTAACGACATCAAGCTTCAAGTTTGGTGTATCCATCAGGTCGAAGATGAATATGACACATTTCAGGTCACTGAAGCAATATAAATACAACTCAGAAGTAATGAAAGAGTGAAATCACATATACGAATTTAGTGGAAATGCAACGATTTGAATAATTGTACCATATATGTACGTAGTCTTATACATGACATCATAATTCATATACTATCGTGATATTTTTTTCAGGGGAAAACTGACTGTGCCTCAAAGAAAGATGCCTGAATTATAATATGATTTTGAAAATAACAACAATACATACTATTTGGTCATTCTTGTGATTAATGGTTTTTTTTAAAAATCATTGACACGTATCACAGTTATCATAATCCGTTCCCTTTCAATCAAGAAATATAAATTGAAACCTCGGACGCCAAATCTGCATGACAAACATTCCTCTCTGGTAACATCCATGGGAAAGTACACTATCTCGCTTCAACATACCTGCCATAGGAATCAGGGTATCCAGGTGACTGGATATAAACAGGATCGTTACCTATGTTATATGTCCTGTTACAGTTGCTTTCTGTAACAAAGACACCATGATGTTAACATCATATCTCCTCATTTGAAGACGAAAACAAAAATGAAACTGATAGAGATGTCAAAATTAATATATTTTGTATCTGTAATAAAGTTGGTTGAAGAATAAGGCATTGTGGATTTGAAAAAAATGCTTTCGCTGACAGAACACTAGTAGTATAATCGTATGTGGGTTCGAACGCCATATTTGATAAAAGTGTTCGGTTTCTCAGTAACATATCCGTTTTACCAATGGTCTAAGAGCTGGATACCTTTGGGCTTTTGTCTCCTAAAATATATGTGGCAATGCTATTATTTGAAAGACTTTATAACATAAGCGAATTCATTTCACATTTTTAGGAGGAAAACCACGCTACCACTACAGTGTATTTAATGAGTAGTTGTGGTAGGCTGGATAGGTGAAAAGTGGTTATACCATCTGGTTCAAAGTACCTGGTATTGCTGTATACTGCAACTGTACACCCTCACTGGTCAATTTCTCAAACACTACCGACAGTGTGTAACCTGAGCTGTAGTATGTCCGATCCACAGTTGAACATAATTCCCCAGGAAACTGGCCACCTGCAGTATAATGTGTTGGTTATGTTTATGCATCCAGAGTCGATTTTAAATAATCAAAGTGAAAGAATAACCAGTCTCGATTGTCGGAGGAAATTTTACAAATTTCGCGTAAAAGAGTCAGTTTGGCGTGATACAGGAATCTAACCAAATGTAATTAGTGTTGAAATGGTTTTGATTAATCAAGTGTGTATCTGATAACTACGTGCTCCTTGACGAAAGCTACAATGCACTCCTATGTACACTTGGTGGAATATATAAAATGTCAGTGTATTCCACATAAACCTCACCTTCAGTTGTGTTTCCGTCATAAACACGAACGACGTCATGATTGCACTGAGTTGAGAAATGCCCCAATTCGTCTCCCATTGAGAATATATTGGTCACTTTGACAGTATCATTCTCGTTTTGCGCTGTTATAATCCATGTGCACTTTTGATTACTGAAACAAAAGTATAAGCCTTATATGTGGGGTGATCAGATAACAAACTCATTATAATAATTGCGTAGCAATGTATTATTGACTGTGGTATAGCGGGAATAAAGACTAAGCATAATTAAAAGAAAATGTTGCAAACATGGCCAATAACTGAAGATGTCATCGTTCACAAGATGAGTTTTGCCGTTAACTTTTAAAAGCCCTCAGATAAAATTAATATAAAACAGAACTTATAACAAAACAATGTGTTTGACTTACGAAAAGTAGGAGTGGGTCAAATCAAGGGATGTTAAGTTTCCTTCCTCGGATGTTGCCGTTAAGTTCCCGTCACATCCTGCAATGTTCATTGATGTGATTCTAAATATCATTGGATTATGAAACCAGTGGAATGTTAAAGGTCGTCATTTATAGTAAAGGACATTGGAACTGGTATGACGGTATATAAATGTATTCGCCTTTTACAGATTTATCATAGAATGCTAGATTATATTCCGTGAACCAATATGTCGAAAGCACTCGATGGTTTAAGGCCTCTGTTGCGCATAGTGCTACACCAGAAACACGCTTCATCTCGCTAATATTTCTGTTTGCGGTATACTTACTTTCAACGTCAGTAACGTTCAGCAGAAAACCCATTCCACCATTTGCATGACTGGTAAGCAGGTGTACATACATGGTGGGTCCATTGCTTATGATACTGCCTATTTTCGGTATACTCCCACAAAGCCGCAGCAACATTTCACTTGAACCATCTGGTCCTTGTCATGAAAATAGCATTGCAGTTAGATCAGCTCACTCATGTATATTCTCAGCCATCACTATATTTGCATTTGTTCGAGAGAATATACTGTATTAAATCATGTCGGCGAGCAAACACATATATAAAATACATGTTTAGGATATGGTATACAAAGCTTATAAAAAACGAAAACAAATTACGAGAGCTTGTTTCTATGCGATAATGTGCATCAAAGTTCCACATTCAAACAGAATGTGTCCGTCATAGTGCACCGTCACTGCAAAAATGCCTTTCTGCGTTCTGCCATCATCCACCTTGACGAAAAATATGACAATTGCGACACAATCAAACTATTGAAGGATGGGAGCGTCTGTTCAATGTTCCGACTAATGAATTCTTTCATCATGAACATGCGGGGCCATTCTTCAAGGTAGATTAATCTGAGTTTTGTTGTCAACACAGGTGAGCTGAATGGCAATATGTCGTTATAACATCTATTGCTATTTGTGAAATGTCTGTCCTTCTAGAGTTGATGACATCATACTGATAGCCGAGTTGTTTGGTTGCGCCGAAAACACGAGTTCTATTTTCCACAAAAGTGCAATGTGTGAAGGCCATTTCTGGTGTCATGGTTAGTGGCACTATTGCAATATTGTCAACAGCCGAACAAAACATTTCCCAATCACTCATTCATATCATAAACTTGCACACCACTAAAGCTGTGGTCTTTTGGGGACTGAACTAAATTTTAAGTAAAGTCAACATATCAGTATTTTGACAAACACTTTGGGTCTTCTTGACTTTGTCATGAGAAAACTATGGACTAATATGGAATGTATATAAGATGTTTGCCAAACTCAATCAACCTGATTTACTAGATAACATGAGGTGAGGTGAGGTGAGGTGAAATTGGATTTATCGTCGTGCTTGAGAATATATCGCTCAAATGACGACGTGCATGCGTGTGTATGTGTATGTGCGGCTGCTTGTACTACCCCAGACTTAAGCTGGTTTTATAGTGCCAGCCCACTGAGATACCATGCCGCAGTGAAGCATCAATACCCCACTCTGACACATTATACTGACTCCAAGCCGACCAGTCCTTGTTGTACCCATTAATGCCGAGCGCCATGCAGGGACCAAGAAGTACCATATTTTAACGTCTTTTGGTATGACGCGGTCGGGGAGTGAGTGAGTGAGTTAAAATTTAACGTCACATCGGCAATATTTCAGCCATATCGTGACGACGCGGTCGGGGATCGAGCCTGCGACCTTCCGCTCTCCGGGCGGACGCTCTAACCAGATAACATGAAAGAATCCGGAATATATATGCCCTGGTCTAATTTCATCCTATACATCCTATATGTATTTGTTAAAAACGTGTCCTTGACATACTAATGTCTCTTCTGTGTAGACTTTTGATACACGACTAACCATGTTAGACAAAATTAATACTTTTTGCTTTTTGGTTTCTGGCGACATTGATATTTCTCGAAAACACTAATCATAATATGAGCACATAATCCCTCGTTTCTAGACCTCATATTTTATCAGATCATTACTTTAGTTCTCAAATGGATCAGTCTCTGTCCTTGTTGCGAACTGCACTACATTTTAGCAGTATTGCAGTATCTTAAGCCCCAGAAAACCCACTGTTAACACATTTGCAAACGGTATGCTTACCATCATAGAAGGATAGAATGCCAGTTCGACAATAAATCGACCTTTCCAAGGATGCATAATAGTTTATGCCCACAAGATGTTCCGGTGACGATGCATGGATCCTCCACACGCAAGATACATTACTGAAACAACAGTAGGAATAATCATCACAACGATCGAAATAAACAGGCATTACGTCCATGTAAAAGTCTGCAAAATGCAATTATGTGAATAAAACAATTCGACGTCCTATCATTATTCATTGCATTATTTCTTACTTATTGGAGTTTCAGTTG